TATACAGTTCCCACGACGAGAATAATTGTGGCCAGCTGCTAGTTTACCGGGAACCGAACGAGAAAGACGTTGTTCCAATTGGTTCAATGACTCTGGTCCATTCGCCGTGTCGCATTCTTCATAAGTTTCCGAGTGTGCTCGCATACCAACGGGCCTCCGGAGCCGGATCATCATTTTTTTTCGATCCGAAGATTCAGGAAGTTCGCAAAGTCCGGTATGCGACCCCCGTTTTACAAGAACGCATAAACAACCGACGAAATTCCTGAACGAAGGTTATCTTGTCGGCGTGGCGCGACCTCTACGCGGAGGGGCCCTACGGTCTCTCTCCGGTTCGTGGTTTCGAGCAAAAACCGAGGGGTCCTTCGTGGCGAAGAAAGTTCAACGAAAACAACGTGACGTAAAGCAGCCTAGGACGGAAATACAAAAAGCAAGACGGATAGCCAAGCTTAAAATATATGGTGGCTCAGACGGATGCGGACGGGGAACTGGAGGAAGTTCGATCACGTGTTCGGGATTAAAGGGATGCCAACCGAAATGTTTCGACGTATACTCGATTCGACGTTATTCCGTTAGACCGGGGACTTCGCGCGCTTGGATCTTTATGCGGACAGGTGTTAAAATTATCGTCTTCTTTGTTCGTGACAACAGTACCGTAGGACGGAGTCCCCCATCAGAAACACCTGAATCCCCGAAATATCCATTCGCAGACGTTCTCCAAGGCGGGTTCACCCGGATTCCTCGCGATTAATCTGAACCTCTGTCAGCAGCATCTCCCGGTCATATAATCCCCGAGACCAGGGCCCTGTGTGGGCCAGAAAGACGGCAGGGGGAGGGCGGGCGATAAAATTAATGGGATATCTAGGGTATCTAATCGAAGAGCATTTTCAAGGCCTGGCCTTAAGGTGCCCACGTAAAGCTTAGCTTAATTGGGCAGCGAGCGGTGGCCGCGCCTTATTAGCGGGTTACAACATCCGGGGCCTAGGCTGTTCTCATCTGAAAAGTCCTGCGTGTGTATCCTGCGGCGGGTCTCGAAAGACCAGTCTCGGCTGGCGGAGAAGCGGAGCAACTAGCCTATAATAAGCCGTACGGTTGTGTACGTTCTGTTCTGTTCCGTTCCTTCATGCTGCGCCAGTGAAGGCAGACCCATAAATCTCTCGGGCATACTCCAGGGGACATTTGATCCTTGCGTAACCCAACGCCGTTAATTTATTGCCCCGCGTTTAAAGTCACCTCCGTCCGCGAGCGAGAGCAGCGGTAACACTGGCATCAGAACGCCGGTTCAACTTTAACACGCCCTGCATATTTCCCGCCGATCGATCCTTCGAACGGAAGAAGATGAGAAAAAAAAGGGAAACAAGTTGATCCCCCTCTCTAGGCTGCAACGTTCCCAAAAAGGCGCTTTATTTTTCTGGGACGATTGCCGAAACACGCAGACTGTCGCCACCAACTACATCGGCGACGTTATTTCAGCTGTCCCCGGACGTTTCCTCGCGTCTTTGGTTAGCGGTCAACGGAACACAAAATCTCTCACATCCCCTTGCCTAGCTGCGCCTGTGTTTCCCACGACGTGTTCGCACGATGAAAACACCATTAAATTCTTTCCTGCCCGTGAGCCTGCACGCGCTCCGGTGATTAATTTGCCGGAGATCACGCGCGCGGATAACGCTTTCGCACCGTCTCAAGGACCCTCGTGCGCCTAGGATCTAAACTAATATTGCTCCCTCGGTATTCGCGCCGCGGCGCCTTGCTTTGGTAGAAAAAAAAACGACGTTAATACATTCCTGTTGACTTGCAGTGAACTTTCATTCGAGCAAGCTGAATTCTTGCACGTTATACTTGACACTTCGGCACGTTTGACAACGGATTGCTCACTGATATGGCACTATTCTGGTTCAATTATGCTCTTCACTTAGTCACTTGTTCACTATACGTACGCACCATTTCACTATTGCCACGAGGACTTCACTAATAGACTTAATTCCTTGATAAGTCTAAGTTTCTTGTTTTTCAATGAACTCGAAGTCCCCTTCAATCCCTGGCTCGCGTTCTCCGTATCCATATAATCGCATGCGATCATTTTCCGCGGGTTTCGCTATTATGGTCGCCTTATCGAGCGGAGAACTCCCCCTTAATTGAGCTCGCATGCTTGCGTTAGCGAGACAAAAAAAAAACGTTGATTGTCGAATGTCTAATTCTGCGGGCAAGCGAGGTTAATCAAGATTCGTGTCGCGCCAATGGAATCGATCGACTTCGAGTAAGAACGCTGCATATTTAAACGGGGAGGATATTGCCAATATTCTTCGGCTACCTTGTTATTAGGATAATAGTCACTCAAGGGGGAGTTATCGTGGAAGGTACATTCTTAAACGCCCGAGGTGTCCGGACGATATACCTCTGTCGACGATTTAGTACAGATTCAGTCTCGGGAAAATTTATCGAGTTCCCTTATCTCGTATTACTTTAGAAATTGGAACACTTTTATGGTTCATCCGTTGTCTGAACAATTAAACAAGCCTATGGTCTAAAACTGGTACGTTCTTCCGATATTATCTTCGTTCTCCGTATGACAAACGAACTTTAATAAGTAGCAGTCGCGTTTACCAGTACCGGGAATCAGTCAATGACTGCTTTTAAGACGCCATCTTTATCACGAACCCCTTTTGACCAGGTCGCCTGGCAGTTACTTGGATGATTCGGAGCCACGACTCGCTGTTTCCAGCCTTATGGTACACGATACATACGTAAATCCGTCGTTTGTAAATCCTTTATAATCAGGTAATAAGGCTGTTATCGATAAAGAGGCATAAACTAATCGGTGCATGGTGGCTGGAGCGTGGCTCGTGGCCGTTTCATTATTCCGTGAACGCTTTGATGATCTTCTGGGTCAGAATGTAGACCATCTCTTCAAGAGGCACCTTCATTAACTGTCTGACGAATGAACATTAATAAGTCGCGTTTCCAAGTGGAAGCTCGCGCGAGAGTCGTCAGTCCCTTTGATGAACCTCGGGGATCTATGTTTATCTCGAGTATCCTTTGATTGGCTGACGCGAAGACTAGCTGTGTCGGAAACATGGTGGACCTATTTTGGTTTTGATCGATCGCACTTTGTAACTCGAAACGACGCACGCTTATAGAACAATCAACATTCTAAGAAGCTCTAATAAACTTCCAAAAAGGTTTAACATTCAGTTGGTTATTTATTTCAATGTGTGGTACAATCAAAGACTAGACAAAAATTCTACAATTCTTACGGAGAAGCAAATATCTGTTAATACGCTCGCTGCCATGTTTAACCCTTTAACGCCCAGACTTTTAAACCGTTATTTAATTATCAGCCTGATATACAATAAACATTGTATGTTGTTATTTTGAAGTCGAAAATATCGATATTAAACAGACCTATCTTTTTTTGTTTATTTTCGGAAGCCATACTTGAATTTCTCAACAGAAAACGTGGAAATCTACTTTACATCAGTGAAACTACGAATTCTTGCTGACAAAACTTACATACTAACCGGTGACAGAATTTGACACACTTCTAAAATGAATGTTGTACCAGTGTAACACTGGGCGTTAAAGGGTTAACAAATAAATAAAGTACCATATACATATTTAACATGTAGAAAATGGAGGACCGAGTAAACGGTCAGTAGAAGCTGGCCGAATCGTTAAAACTTATAAGTAAAGATGCTAGAAGATTGGTATGTTGTTAATTTGAGACTGTAGCCCGAGGGAGGAGGGTACAAGAGGGCATCTTCCCAGAGTTTCTCTCTCTCTCTCTTCCTCAGACCACCGTCTCTTCGTCCGTTCGAGCGACGCGGAACCCTCCAAGAATTCTCTCCCTCTCTCTCGCCGGAGGAGAGTCGCCATCCGTCTTCATCGGCCGACAGCACGACGGGCGGCGTTTGCCTCGAATGCTCACCAAGGAGTTTTCTTCTTCTTATCCTCCTCCTTCTCTTCCTCCACCTCCAACTCCGTTCTCTTGCCGCGCATCCCTTCTGCCCTCCTCCCCCCGTCCTTTCTTTTTTCCCTCCCTCGTATACCACGCTGAAATATTCTCGTTTTGCCCTCTTGTGCTCGTGTGGCAAGAGCTCTAACCTAACCCTTTCGAGATTATGCTCGGCCGAGACACGAGAGACTGCTCACGCATACTCGCGTATCTGGCCAGCTGGTTGTCTCTCTTTCTGTTTCTCTCTGTCCGCTAGCCAGGCTTCTTCTCCGTTTCCCTTGCACCCTCGCCCGAGCCACAATTAATATTCTTGTTCGGGATTCGTGTACCGCCACACCGAGCGCAGATCATGTCACGGATATCTGTAAGGTATCTATCATACGCGGAACTGCGCCTACGAAGCCTGGCCTTCGAGGCTTTTTCTTCGCCGGACAGGGCATTTTTGTTTTCGACCGACCCCCATGTAAAAACATCACCGCGTGCCGAAGCAGGTTGCCACGGCGTTCATTAAATATCCCGGATAGCGGGTTAAACTGCTCGCCTCGAGAAAGCGGCTAACGAAGCGGCCACTTCTGGCCCTCCTTATTGCTTTCGATATTTCGGTGGAAAATGGACTGCGGATGAATTGGAAACGGAAAGACGTATGAACAGTTTCTTGACAATTTCAAATAGAATTGCCTCTATTTGGTGTTGTGGATTTTGGGATATTGGGTCGGGGTATGTTGGGACGGGATGTGGTTGCAACAATGGTTGAGGGTCTTATGTTGGAGGTACCTTTTTGAAGGTTCTTTCGAAATGATAGAATACAACTCTTGATTGCTATTAATGAGCGTAATATCAAATGGTACATCTAAGTGAAACTTCAAAGTCAAATATAACAGAGTACCAAAGTGAAGCTACCATGTTCATCTTTTATAAAGATTCCTTAGGGTTGTTAAATTTTCTAACGTGGAACCTTGATCTATTCTAAATTGCATGTAACTTCAACTTACAAAAAAACAATCTGTAAAAACGCAAAACTAACGAGTACCATTGGTTCTCCGTGTTTCAGAGAGGAAACGAGGACGGCAAACGTACACCCGATACCAAACCCTAGAGCTGGAGAAGGAGTTCCACTTCAACAGATACCTAACCAGGCGGCGACGCATCGAAATCGCGCACGCGTTGTGCCTGACGGAACGGCAAATAAAAATCTGGTTCCAAAACAGACGGATGAAGTGGAAGAAGGAGAACAAGACGAAGGGCGAGCCAGGCTCGGGCGACGGCGACACCGAGATCTCGCCGCAAACGTCGCCGCAGGGTTGAGAGAGCCCCGGAGGAGTGGAACTTCCAAAGAGGTCTCATCTCTCTCAGGGTCGTTAATACCTTGTTTCCAGCACTACCTCCTCCCCCCACCCCC